ATCCTTTGATGGCTCGTGCCACGCTCTCCCATTGCGTTGTCATCCTGAGTCTCTTGAGGGCAGAAATGTTCTCCCTGGCTCCGTCTCCTCCCTGGCCTTGAGCTGCGTGCCTGGGAGGCACTGTGGACCGAACACTCCAGCCCCTGCTTCTCCACACCAGCTGCTCCACTTGGACTTTACTTTCTGCTGCCTACTGGGAAGCAGTCTTTTTCCACAACTCCACTCTCCTTCCTCTGACCCAGGCACTTGCAAAGCCCTGACCATGGCCCACTCCCAGTGATTCCTGTCCCTTCCCTAGAAGTTGCCCACCTGACTCCACTGCCTCACTCATCCCCACATGTGTGGAGCCCCTTATAGCTTCCAAAGGTCACAGTATACTTCTGAGCATCTCTCCTCAGAACCTCACACCAGCCTAAGGGAAGGGTCACTATACTCAACTGACAGATGGAGAAACTAAGGCCCTGAGAAGAAAAAGAAAGAAGCAGACCTACTGGAGGTCAGGCAATGTGGTGGCATCAGAGCTAGGACTCAGCGGACATTGAACCCAACCAACTCAAAGAAGGCTAGGTAGGCTTCAGAAAAGGTTTGGTGCCACTGGAGCCCCTGGGAAGCCCACCCTTGATGAAGAAGAGGAAACACACACAGGAAACCTGGGGCAAGGGTGTCTAGAGAAGTATGAAACCTGGACTGATCCCCTGGGACAGGGGGTGTCTCTCAGAGGGAAGTGGGTGTTCGGCTCCAGCCACTCAGGGACCCAGTCACTGCTGGAACTACATTTTCAAGTTCTCATCTGGGCCTCCAAACAGAAACATCTGTGTCCCAGCCCCAGGGTCTAGTGATGAGTTCCTTCCTCTGGTCTCTGGACCACTGACAACTGTCTCATTTTCTCTCACTCCAGTGAGGCTGGAAGCTTGCGAGAGGTCACTGTGTGTCTTGTTTGGGAATGACCATAAATGAGTGTGTTTTCACTGAGATGCTAGAAAAACAGCGGAGGACAAACCCCACATTCCTGACACAAGCAAAAGTAACAGGAGACTTTCTGAGGTCGAGGCGTGCATCACAGTGTGAACAGAGGTGGTACAGGGACTCAAGCGTGGTTCACATTAGGATGCTCTTCTCCAAAGGCAAAACCAGCAATCTGGTCTTGTGCAACATCACCATGGCAACAAAGCCAGGTAGCAGGAAGTCCCGCTGCCCGCTCAGTGACCTTCCAGTAGATTGAGACAGCTGGGGCCTCTGCTCTTGCACTTTCTGCGTGGTCTTGACTCCAAGTCTGGCCGGGGGCACTGGCCTCTCCTCTAGAGGCCTCAGTCTCTCTCTCTTACTGAACAGAGGGGCTATGTTGGGTGGGAAGTTCCTGTGTGGTGCCAAAGGTTAGTACTGCAAACCAAATGTTAGCTGATTAAGTCCACCCAGAGACATTTTGAAAGAGAGGCCTGTTAATCTACTCCTGAAAAACCAGCCACTGAGAATTTCATGGAGCAAAGTTCTCCTCTTCACAACCTGGGTTCATCATGGTTACACTGGGTGGTGTATAAGGAACAAATAGAGTTTCCAGAGGCCAAGTGTGTGGTGTGTTCTATGCTGGGCCAGGGTGAGGGATGGGGATCCTTACAGAGCAACTGAGCTAAGTTTGAAGGTGGGCCGTACACCTTCCCTGGGCTTAACCTGCCTTCTATCAGACGGTGAACTCTTGATGGCAGAAACCAAATCTTACTCAGTTGTTTCTTCCATGGGAGCTGAGGGATGGGAGGGACCTTTCGCCTGCCCATCCAGGTTGGTCTCTCTCTTGTTCCCCAGTCTCTCACACAAGATCAACAAGGTGGTCAGGAGTGCCCAGCTGAGTCTTAGGGGGTACGTAGGATTTCACTCTGCCTTTTAACGACCTGAACTTGGGCAGTGATATACCTGTGTGCTCCATTTCTGACCAGACAGGACTTCCTAAGGGGCAATAGAATTTGTTCCCTAAGGGGTAGATGTCCCCAACCTCGGAAGCCACTTTCCCAAGTTTCTCCCTTGGAGCTGTTTGAGAATTTGAGAGGAAAACAAAGCGCAAAGCCTTTGTAATCCAACCTCTTGGAACAAGATTCCAGGAGGCTGGGCTGCTGTTTCCCATTATAGCGGTATGTTATCTGATGGGGACCAGAGGGGGAAAAGGAATGTTCCCACTATTCACTCACACACTCGGCTTTTCCCAGAACAATGACAGGCAATGCCTCGCCATGTTAATTGCCCAGGGAGACCCACCACGGTTGGAGAAGGGACGGAAACAAGACAGGCAGACAGCTGGCTAGTGACAGGTAAGTCCGAGCAGAAGGAAGAAGTGCTCGCACTAGGGTTGGGGGAGAGCCAGTGGAGCCTAGAAGACAGCAGCCCTGATCCAGTGCCTGCTGCAAGTCAAGGGCTGCAGGTTCAGCCCTACTCAGTTCCTGACTCTCACAGAGCAGTAGGCAGATGATGTCCTCACAGTGACTAGTGCCAACCAAACCATGCACCCAGATGCTGTTGAGGAAACTCCAATTCATGGAAAGCCCAGGTATTTCACAGTACAACTGCTCCACTGGGTTTTCAATCACTGTGATCTTTTGGAAGTAGATATTCCAAAGCACCTCTGGGTGAATTTCAACAACCAATCACTCATTTAGTTAGTAGCTGAGCACTTAACCATCTGCACTGCCCAACAGTTCCCAAAGTACTGTCCTCAGACCAGCAGCATTAGCACCACCTGGGAGCTTGGTGGACCTGCAAATTCTCACCCCTCCTGTAGTCTCACGGAAGCAGAGCTGGGCTTAACGCGTTCGCCCGGTGGCTCTGATGAAGGTTAAGGCTTGAGTCACTCTTCTTGGGCAACTCATTCCAATGGTGAGCCCTAGAGGGTCATGGTGTGCATCAGGGGGCTGGGTGGGGCCCCCAGGACAACTGTCCCTAACTCTGTGTGCTGCACTGAAAGTATGATAATTTTCTCTCTGTTAAAGAGTTGGGAAATACGGCTCAAGTCTTACCCAGACTTGGATAACAGTGATGCTTAAGCTCAAAGTACATGCTCACAGGTTGAGGGCTCACTTCTGTCACAGGTGGTCTCTCCAGCTCCCCCCTTGCTTCAGAGTCATCTGCTGGCAGATGATTATGAAAAAATCCATAGAATTCTGTCTTTTCCAGGCAGGTTCGATTTCCCACTGGTCTGTAGAGGCTTGTGTGTTGCTATGATGCTGAATAGATTTCACTGAAGCTTCCAGACTAAGATAGACTAGAAAGAAGAGCCTGGTGATCTCTACTGCCAAACACCAGCCAGTGAAAACTCTGTGGATCGCATTGGGCTACCTCATGTGTCTGGGGTTGCTATGAGTTTCCTCAACAGCAGATAATAATAAATCCTTGGGGAACAGAGCCGTAACACAAAAGGTTGGGGACCTGGGCCCTTTTCCACACTGAACTGAGTTTCCTGTCACACCAGTTTCGGGCATCCTCAAGCAATTGCCCACTAGGGCTGACTCCAAGGAGTCTATTCATTGGGCCCATGATGGGCAGCACTTGGGTGACTCATACAATGGATGGTTCTTGGCGATACTTAGGGACTGAGAAAGGGCAGTCAAAGAGAGTCAGGGATGGTGGGCTTTCCACCAAGAGGAGTACAGAGATAGTGAGGGTCTCCAGAACCCAAGAAGGCAGTCCAGGGCAGCCTGCAGGAAGGATGCCCAGTCTCCTGTGCTGTCCACAGTCGGGCCGACTGTCCTTTCCTCATTGCTGAAACTTCTCTCATCACATTGAATGAGCGGCCCTTTGTACTTGAAAGAGAGCCACCTGCATGTACCCTTAATCCTGCCGATGAAAGACATGTGGGCATGTGACCCCACAAGAATGCTTTGTGCTTGTGGAGGGTCAGTCTGCAGGTGGATGAGCAAGTGTATGCCTTAGTCAGAATGTCCCGGCAGCTCCTCCCATTTCCCCTTCCTGGTTTTCCACGATGCCTTCTCTCTGCTGCCCCATTCAAGGGCTCGCCTGTCTGCAGACAGATGTACCTCTGGGTTCCAGGAAAGCCTGAAGCCCATGGGCTGTCGTGGACCACATCAGTCAGAGGCACCGAGTCTGTGCCATGGTCCACGGCCCCACCCCAGCCCTCAACCATTGTACAAACCGGGAAATGGAGACCCATTTGGGGTCACATTCAATGACGGTGGCTGAGAGATTAATAATAAGGAGAGCGAACCTTTCTGGGGGAGCCCGCGGGCATGTCCCCGCACTCACTCAATCCTGATGACAATCCTGGAGCCAGCTACAGCCATTATCCCCACTTCACAGACGACAAGGTGAAGTTCAAAGGCTCACGGCCAGGAAGTGGCAAAGCCAAGACTTGACTCTTGGAGCCTGTGTTCCTCCAGGTTCCCACCTCTCTGGCCTGTTCCTCCCACTGTGCCATGAGGCCTCCATATCCCTAATCAGACGTCTGTGAGGATTGGTCAGGGACCACATGGACTCATGAGCAAAGGTAGCCCTGCCCCAACTCACTGTCTTGCTTGAGCAGAAATTGCATCCTCGGGTCTGTGCTCTACCTCCCCGCTAAGCACAGAGAGGCTGGGCAAGCAGTCTAGAGATCCTACCCCACTTGGGAGACCCTGGGGCACCTCCCTCCACTCAGCTTTTCCTGAGCTTCAACTTGTATTAAAAGAAACACCTAGGCAGCCTTCTCCCTTCTCCACCACCCACCTTACAGAGGTGCTGCATTCTGCCCAAGACTCACCAGACATCCACCCCTACCAGCCAATGTGTCTGTCTTAGGAGAAGGGGGTGGGGCCTGCAGTGGCACCTCAGAAACTCTGAAGACATGTGAGCCCCTTGAGTTCCATGAGACCACACCCCAACACTGAGTCTTTGCAGTCTTGGAGTCCTAGCCTCACACACAACTCTGACTTGGAGCCTGTCCTCCTTCCTGCAGCCCAAACCCCCACCCCTCAACCTTGCAGTCATTCAGAGTGAGCTTTGCAAACCAGAGATGGTCCGACTCACTTGGTCCTGATGCAAAGTTCCAGGGGTGGGACCAGGTCATTGTCTTTGTCTTCAGGGACGGTCTGTGTAGTATCTAGAGGGTGGAGAGAGAGAGGCATACACATCAGGTCTTCCCTGCACCCTGCATGCACCCTGAGTGTACCTGTCTTCAGGTACCTTTCTCCTCTTGCCCATCCCCACTGGACCTGTCCTCATTTCTTTCCTAGATGACCACAATAGCATCCTCACTGGTCTCTACCTCCAACCTTCACCCCACTCCATGAGCCCCCTTCAGCTACCAGAATATTCTTTCTATATACATTTGGTCCCATCACTCCCCTGCTCCAAAACCTCCCATGGCTCCATAGAACCCAAAGAAACAATCCTAACTTTTCAACATGGTCTTCAGGGTCTTCTCCCATGTGTTCCAACTTCCCCGTACACTCTTAAGCGCCATCATTTCCCAAGGCCCAGCTCTGCCGCCCCTGCCCACTCCAGGAGGGCCCTGCCAGCATTTGCGGTCTGCTCCCACAGCGCTGTCACTGGACCCTGTGTTGGTCTCTGTCTGCCCCAATCAGAGGTGCACTAGGGCTGGTATGCCTGAGCAGGTCAGAGGATCTCTGAGAACAGGCACAGGGATGGGGGAGGAGAGGTGCCCACCGATGGTCAGCCGGATCTGGTCCTGCTGGTTGGCCAGGCTGTCGTAGTAGTACAGGTCGAAAAGCCGCTCGGTTCTCCAATCCCGCAGGAGCTCTGACTGTAGGCTGAAGAGGACGCTGAAGTGGCTCTCACTGCACACCACCCAGATGGGGAACCTCGGGGTCTTCAGGAAGCAACCGACCTGCATGCATGAAGGGTGTAGACAGAGATGCCTGGCATCATGTGCTGTTCTTCCATCCATCCATCCATCCATCCATCCATCCATCCATCCATCCACCATCCTTCCAACACACAGCAGGGGTGACCTCAGAGAGGCCCTGAGTGAGGATCATGGCCTGCTTGTGAGGCAGGAGACCACAGTGCTGCTCCCAGACCCGTCCCTGCCACCTCTGCCTACCACTCTACATGGGGTTTGATGCACAAATGGTGGGACAGAGACTCCACAGCCTGAATCTCAGCACCACCCTGCCCTTCATATCCCATATCCAGCTGGTACCCAAGGCTGTCTATGCTGCCTCTGAAAACTCCCTCACACTCCTAGGTCTGCTTCCCCTCCTCTTACCTGGACCATGACAATGACTTCCTCACCAGCCCCACAGACCCCTGGAACTAACCCCACCCTGGAGCCTCTGTGCCCTTGAGTTTTTCATCCACTGGTCCTGTCACACACTCTTTGAGCACAGTCTGACATAACCCAGCCAAGGAACTGTAATCAGGACCTCCTTCCAGCCCCAGCCCCCAAGGGTGCATCACACTCTGCCCCCCACTTCTCTCACAGTGCATCATTCTGCCTCACAATGACACCTTTACCTGCATGTTGCACATGAGACTCGACCCTCAACATCAAGAGTATGGTGGATATAAAAATGTTTGAGGAAGGAAGGAACTTGTGGATAAAGTGGAACATAACCAAGAAATGTACCTTGAAGTGTCCTTGAAGCCATAGGGAGGAGTAAGGAGAGCTTTAGGGGTAAGTAGTCTGGGAGTCCTGGTGTGGCACTGTGGTTTAATGCGCCAGGAGTTTGAGCTGCAAGGTCCGCAGTTCAAGCTCACCAGCTGCTCCTCGGAAACCCTATACAGGGTTGCTATGGATCGGAACTGACTCGATGGCACTTCACAACAACAACAACAGTCTGTGGGAGGAATGTCCCAGGGAGGAATGGCACTTCACAACAACAACACCAGGGAGGAATGTCCAGAGCAATTCAGGGGATACTGGGGGTATGTGGGACAGGGAGTAAGGAAAAATGAGACCAAGACAATACCAGCATAAAGAGACTGCAGGTGACAAGGATTTCCTTAGGAAGGTTCCAAGGAAGTGGGTTCCATGATAAAAAGATGTTTAGAAAGATGGGTGGCATGGAATAAACATCAGGACTCTATATGTGTTTTGGTAGTGGTTTTTTTCTGTTTTTTGTTTTTTCCAGTTTGAGCTGGAACAGGGAAACTAGCAGTCAGTCCCATCTGTGAACTCCTGTTCATGAGCCTGGCTGGGCCCGGCCCGCCTTCTGCACCCTCTCTCCCTGACATCAGCATCTCCCCTGGGCAACGCTTCACCTCACCCTGGGCCCTGTTTTATTCAGCTATGTACGTGCTGTGGGCCCGGCTGATTCCCAGTCTAATCCCCCACCAGCCCCAGTGAGATGCTTGCATGCTCAGGTATTTGCAGCCTCAGCCCATGGATTAGAGAAAGAATGGGAATTATTTTTCCAGTGGGGAGAAGGGCATACTTTTTCTGGAGCCGGTCACAGAAGCCTGCTTCAAGCTTTCTCTGAGCTGGGGAAGATTCAGACAGAGGTTCAGAAAGTCCTGAAAGCTGCTTCAGCCACAGGGAAGACGGAGGTGGAATGGTGCTCTTTGGGATGTGTAAATGATTTTTTTATTGTCCCCCTCCCTGTCATCACCAGGCAGCAGGGCTGGATGGCTGGCAGCCCCATGTGACCTTAGCGAAGTCCCATGCCATCTCTGTTCCTGGATTTTCCCCTCTGTAGAGTGAAGGCCTGAGCTCCATCTCCAGCAGCCCTTGCAGCAAAGGAGAAACCTGAAAACGTGACTGCAGAGCTTGCTCCTCCATGGGGTGTAGGGGAATTAGGTGTCTTAAAGGACGTGGCTGGACGTGCCCAAGTGCCTCTGCAAACTTGGCTTCCGTTCCGTGCTCACAAGAGGATTTTCTGGTGAGGGCGTAGCCTAGAACGGAGAGCTTTCATGCCTGGAGACCCAGGGCGCATGCGCTGCCGGAGAAAGAGTCCTGAAGCCAAGCAGGGAGCAGGCATGTGCACAGTCAGCTGCCCTGAATTGTCCAGCAGAGGAACCAAGGGGCAGCTTGCCATCTATACAGCAGTCAAAATATGAAAGACAGACAAGTTGCCCAGAGAGTTAACAAATGAATTTTCCCATCCCAGAGCCCCCTTCTGAGTGGATGACATTTACAAAGATGAAGCACCCTTCTTTTGGATTCTTGGGTAGGAAACCAAAGGCTTGGGGCAGGGAGGGGCACACTTCCTCCAGTGGAATCCGTAGCTTTCTCCTGATGGGTGAACTTAGGGCATGGTTGGGACTCACTTTTAAATGATGATGATCTTGGTTTTCTAGAGCTGCTATGATAACACAGAGAAGTGTATTTTCTCACAGTTTCGGAAACCAGCTGTCCCACGAGTCTTTTTCTCTCTGTTGGCTCTGGAGGAAGGTCCTTGTCCCTTCAGCTTCTCCCTCCTGGTTCCTTAGAGAGCTCCCTGTGTCTTCACTAGGTCTTTCCCTTGGTCTAGGAGGGTCTATGAGGTTCTCAGCACAGGGACTCCAGGTCCAGTAAACTTTCCCAGCTCTCCTTTCTTGGCAGAAGTGTGGTTCCTCCCCTCTCTGCTCACTTCACTCTCCTTTTATCTCTTGGAAAATAGAAGGTATGACTCAAGCAAGGGTGGGACATGAGTAAGAATGGGACTTGAGTCAGCCCTAAGATACTCCCCACCATAATCCTGTCTCATTACTACATGTTGCTGTTCAGTGCCATCTTGTCAGTTCCAACTCACAGCGGCCCTGTATAGGGTTTCTGTGGAGTGGCTGGTGGGTTTGAACCAGTGACCTTGCAGTCTGCAGTACAGTGCTTATCCTACAGCGGCACAGTAGGACTCCCATTATATGGTGGTGGCTGTGTGCCGTGGAGTCAGTTCCAACTCATAGCTACCCTGTACAGGGTTTCTGAGGCTGTAAATCTTTATAGGAGCAGAACGCCTCATCTTTCTCCCGTGGAACAGCTGGTAGTTTCGAACTGTTGACCTTGCAGTTCGCAGCTTGATTCATAACCACTATGCTACCAGAGCTCCTTTATGTAGAGGTTAGTATTTATAACACATTACAAAATGGCGGATCATTACACAAAAGGACACTCACACACTATTGGGAATCATGGCCTAGCCAAGTCGACACATATTTTGGGAGGAGACAATTAGGTCCATGACAATGGTACTTAATATTCTGAGAGTGCACAAACACTGAAAGCTCCAAAGCCACGCACGGGCTGACTCAGATTTTAAAAAAATCAGCCAACTCTGACTCATGGTGCTCCCACATGTGTCAGAGTAGAACTCTGCCACATAGGAGCCCTGGTGGCGTAGTGGGTTATGAGTTGGACTGCCAACCTCAAGGTCAGCAGTTCAAATCCACCAGCCACTCCACAGGAGAAAGAGGAGCCTTTCTGTTCCGGTAAAGATCTACAGCCTCGGCAACTTCACACAGGGTTGCTATGAGTCATAACTGACTCGGTAGCAATGGATGGACACCATGTTTTAACCTTTCATTTAGCAGTTGAGCATGTTAACCATTTGAACCAGCCAGGGTCCTGGCCAGCTTGAACCTTCAATTTAAAAGAATTAACCTCTGCTCACCAGCAGAGTTACAGCCTGCCATCTTTAAGGATAGCATCATTCAATCATTCAGACATCAGTAGACCATGCAACATGCATCACAGACACCATGCTAGGCAGTGGAGATTAAGCAGTGAAGACAACGTAACAGCCCAGTGCCAGTGGAGTTTACTAGATGAGTCAGGGAAACAGAGAGTAACCAAATAATCATGTAAATGTGCATGTCTAAGATGCCACCAGACTCACCATGATTCTTGGTGTCACTAAGAAAGCTGCCAATTAGAGCTCGACACACCATCGATTATAACACAGATGGCAACGTTTGAAATCAGGCAGAGGTGATGGCTGTACAGTGTGAGGAATACAATTAATATCAATAAATTGATCTTGTCCAAGATATTGGAATGTTTTGTTTGTTCTGGTAGTGTACTGATTACCAGTCGGACTGCCAACCTAAAGGTCAGCATTTAGAAACTACCAGCAGTTCTGCGGAAGAAAGATAAGGCTTTCTGCTCCTGTAAAGATTTATAGCCTCGGAAACCCTGTGCAGGGTCGCTGAGTCGGAACAGACTCCTTGGTATTTAACAACAACAACAAATGTATATATATATTTGTTTTTTGTTTTGTATTTTAATAGTTTCACTAGAT